TGAAATTTTGTCTTGAAGCATGGTATAGCATGGTAACAGTCTTAATATAACAACAGTAAACTACATTGCTACATTTTGCGACAGTATGCGTAAAAAGCCGCCAACATCAGTGCGAAGGTTGAGATTGCTTCTTTCTCACCAGATCAGAAATTCTCGGGGCAGTCTATGCAAGAGCACAAACGAAGATCATCTTCCACAACAAGTCTACTTCTGTATTTAGACTTGATAACCAACAAGTTGGAAAACCCTGTTTCACAAAGATATGTTGTTGGAAATGGAAGAAGAAGGCGCAACACAGTCTCAGACAGAAAAGGATATGACTGCAAACACTTGATCCAGAATTTTATAACTGGCATTGTAGAGAAATCAGTTCTCGCTGCATCATTGTTAGTAAGTTCAATGAACTCCTCTTGTGCTGTCTCAGCAACATCTTCAACTTTGACTGTGAATGGGCTTCTGGCAAGTGCAAACGGGGTGTCAGGTAGATTTGGAAAGTACGATGAAATTTCTTCTGCAAGCATGTGCAAGTGTTCTTTCACAGAAATTATCATTATAATCCTTTTGTCTGGTTCAATGTCATGTTCCTCAAAGAAAGCAGATAGGGTAAGCAACATGTAAATTTTATTTTCATCTAATGTTTTTTGCCAAAGCTGAAGTTTCATTTGGAATGATCGGCTCTTTTCAGACAAATCGAGGCATGTTGCATTTGGTCCTTGCAGTGATAAATTTAACTCATTCAAGATGGCAAAGATGTCAACCAAGTAAGCTATTTTCTGCAGTTCACTTTTATCACTGAAAAGTTCTTCGAACTGCGGTCTTGCTTTCTGATTAAAAAATATTTTGAGTTCATCACGAAGTTCAAAAACACGTTTTAAAACTTTTCTTCGGGCTGGCCGAGTGGCGCGATGGTTAAGAACTGGCTTGGGATGCCAGAGGGCCCCGGTTCGGATCCCATATATGAGGGCCAGTGACACTGCCCTCTACAGCTAAGATGCTGAACAACAGCTCAACCTGGTGCTGGGCTGCCATGAGTTGCCGGCGAAGGCATAGGCTGCAGCCCCTGTGGCAGTGGGTTGCCATGGGCTACCGTGTGTAGCCAGCAGCCAGCAGGAGC